TAATGACGAAGATCGTAAGGTGAATAAACCATCCTCATGGATAAATAAATCTCATTTGTAATGAAGACTTGAAAGGAATCTCTTGACCATACATGTCTGTTACGCATAAACAGATTCACATTGTGGCATGTGGTTTGCCGACGGAATAGGCAAAATACCATTCGCGTGAGGTATCTCGTATTTCGGCTTACGGTAATATTAGGAACCTGGAACATTCCGGAACATTCCGGAATATTCCGGAACATCAAGTTCGTGCGCGCAGATCAGCATGACTGAGCATTCTAGAAATTTCTAGGTAATTTTTTTTAGTCCAACTCTCCATAACAACCAATACTGCTAAATCTAAATGCCATAACTGTGCCATAGTAATCATCATTTAAAGCGCCTTGAGAATTTTCTGTAGTCTTGTTAACCTATAGTATTGTTACCTTTCATGTCGTTCTTCTTAAGACTCGTTTTTTTTACTCTTCTTCAGATTGCTGCGTGCATTTAGCCAAGGGGCTATATCAAATCAGCAAAAAGCACTACTCGGTGCACATCTATGACCTTTCGGCTCGTTTTTGGCTAAATAGTCAAATAGTGTCGTAAATTCCCACGTGTGTTTAATGTTGTCGTGAATCGTGACTAGGCCAGATATCACGTAAAATCGTCTAAATATCTTTCTAAATATCTAAATATCCCAAAACATTTTCAAAAGAGCTCGAAAAATCCTTTAAATATCTCGAAATATCTCGTGATTTTGTTTAAAAAATATGCCGATTTTGAATCCCTTAGGCCAAAGTTTTCCCTGGCGGAGGCTGAAAAGTATGTCAGAGATTGTCGACACTAATATTAAGGAAATAAAAGCTCATTGTTTCCAGCATCCGCCATTTTGACAAATGGCTGCTGGTGATATGGAATACACTCATTATTCAAGTGGGAGACCGTTAAACTGGATTATTTCTAGCATAGAACAATAGAACTGAGTATTCTGTCGAGAAAATAGCGCGGAAAAGCTGGAAAACAGTCAAAAAGGCTATGATTTTTTCTAAGTATCCCAAAGTTTTTCTAAGTATCTTAAAACTTTCTAAGTATCTCGGAAACTTCAAGATATCTAAAAAAATATTTGGATATTTGTGAAAAGGCCCAATTATGACCTGTTGAGACACGTACTTAAAAATGCTAATAAGCAAAACAATTAAGTAAACTTGTGAACACTTGAATTACCTACTTTATCTGATTTTTTTTTTTTTAATTCACAGCCAACACCACCCGACGAAGATCATCACCCTCTGTGGCATTCGTTGATTGAGTAAATGTTCACAACTTTTCTTAACTGTCTGTGTTGTTTGCCTTTAACCCATGGTCAATAGCGAATTCGTAGAACCCTTTCGTTATATGCTCTATTAATAGGTAATAAAAGACTGTCGCCTGGTCGAAATTAAAATGGATAGTCGCTTTTGCAATATGTCACCCCTTTTCTGTAAGTTTTCGTCAAAACACCAGCGATCTGTAATTAGTACGTGCAACGGCGTTTGGTAAAACAAAACATGTGATTAAGGTTCAGCACCAACGAACAACTATAAAACAGCAACGATATTGTGGGTTTACAATTACGACTTGTTGCTGGCACTAACGATTGAGTTTTTTCTATCGCTGGCGATTCATATTTTTGGCACAAATGCCTCCTCGTGAACTGGGCTCTTAAAATCAAAAAAATATCTGCAGAAGCGGAACCTCTGGGAAAGCGTTATAAGGTAATAACAAATGACTGAAGACGTTCTTTGTAGCCGAAGTCAAGCTGTATTGCTGCCGTAACAACAGTAACTTTGACTTAGTGGCATAAAGGTGGAAATGCCTGTTTCACTCTAGACTATGATCCATCACCAAGGCAAATTAATTTGTTAAAGAAATTATGTAAAATTAACTTACCGCAGGGCGCTCTGATTAAGTTCCGATTTGATACGCGTTTGGAGATATTGAGATGTGGTGCCAACCATCCTAATATTCTAATATTAATTCCAAAATATCTCAGATCCAAGGCTTGGCTAATGGAGACGGTGTCAGTCTATACACATGGCGTTCAAAGGGAGTAAAAACTTGGAATTAACAAGCTAGCTTGACCCTTAATTAACCTTACTTAACACGTAACCTCAATCATGGAGAAAAATTATAAAAAAAGTAAAGAAAAATTTAAAAGGGTAATAAAAGCGAGGAATATAACGTGTTGAGTCTCTCTTAGTGCTACTTGTCAACTGTAGAAAAACACAAGGCTGGTCACTTCAATCATTTCTTAACCAACTCTTTACTTAGCCTGCAGAGTAGGCGTTCTTGTGGAGTTTGGGCGAAAATTAGGACTTTGGGCTTTCTGTTTTATTTTCCAGACCGCGCGTAAAATGGAGCGAGGCGAAAAATTAGGAGGCGGGGGGAGGGGGAGAGGAGAGAAGGGAAGGGAAGGTTCCTTTCTCTAGCCCTAACCTCTCCCCCTCCCCCCACCTTCTAATTGTTCGCCTCGCTCCATTTTACGCGCAGTCTGGAAAATAAAACAGAAAGCCCAAAGTCCTAATTTTCGCCCAAACTCCACAAGAACGCCTACTCTGCAGGC